CAACCACCATCAACCACTTCCAACCACCATTCAACCACCATCAACCACCCTCAACCACCCTCAACCAAGTTGCCAAGGCTCTCCTATAAATAGAGATAAAGAGAGAGCAATGTATAAGTGTAGTGAAAGTGTGGTGAGAGCAAAAGGATGAAAGTGTGGTGAGTGTAACTGTGAGAGTGAGAAAATACAGATTTGAGAGAAACACCGAGTGTAAAAGTGAAACACCGGGTTAAGTGGGATTGTACTAGGTTGAGTTGAGTGTTTGTATCATTCCTCCAATAATATACAATCTGCTGCCTCCGTGGACGTACCCAATTTTGGGGAACCACGTAAATCTGTTGTTTGTGTTTTATTTGTGTTTGCTTTCGGTCCAATATGCGCAACAAGTTTTTCTTCTACAATGCCACACATCACCCAGCAAATAAACTTTCAGCACGATAAATCACACCCAAAACACAGAAATTCAAAAGGGCATTTTCTCTAATTTCCAGAACTTGGACCATGTGGTTCTCTTTCCTCATCTCAAAATCAGTATCTCTTCTTCCTGTTTAATTATCCAGATCAGTGTCTTCAGTGCCTTGTGTTGGGTTGATTGCCATTAATGTGAAACAACCATTAATGGACGGCATCATCCATTGACAAATACAACAGCCCTTTTAAAATGTCAAAGTTTAGCAGTTACCATTGTTGAAGATGAACTGGAGTTGGCAGTCACCATTGTTGACAAAAGAGCAAGAGAAGTTGTCATGAATGCCTATAAATAGAGACATACGTGAGAGAACAAATTGAGAGAGAGCAAGAGCAAAGTAAAGAGAAGAAGAGAGAAAGAAGGAAAGGCTGCCACCAGCAACCCTGCTACTCTATATAGCTGCTACCCTATGTAGCAATGAGAGATGAGAGTTGAGTGAATGTGATCCTCCTCCGTATGTTGTATTTTTTCTCTATCTCTAATAATATTTATCTCTGCCGTGGATGTAGGTAATTTGCTGAACCACGTTAAATATTATGTGTCAATGAGCTTGGCCTCCAATGAGCAAATGATCATGAACACCACTGGTCCGCGGATAGGGAGCCGGAATTCCTAACAATTGGTATCAGAGCATTTGGTTTAAAATGGTGTTTGATTTTTGCTCAAAAATAAAAGTTCTCAAAATGGTGTTTTGACCATACCATTATGTAGAGGAGGCCGAGACGAAGCCACTAGTGAAAACAGCGTCGAAAACGGACATCGGATATGCCTGCACGCTCCCCCGCACGCGGATGAGGTGGCAGTCCACGCAGGCAGATGTGCCCCACGCGTCTTCTTCACTCGGATGGGCTGACCCAACCCGAATACCAGTAGACCGGACCCATATGACTAACCCGGATATTGATGATGTCAGTATGCATGCCAAATGATGACATCAGCATGATGTAGTTGTGATGTCAGCATGCACAATAGGCATGCCATGTAAGCGCCCAGTCAGCTCTCACGTCATCACAAGGGCCCCCACCTGCCACGTCACCAGCCACGCCGAGCCGAGTGGAGCCGAGTCGAGCTGCGAGCTGAGGGATAAGATCCAGTGTAGCTTATCCTACGTGGAACCGGTTCTGAGATTGAATCTAAGCCATTTATCAAGCTAGAATTGTTTTGATCAAATCTTAGCCGTCTGAAGTGCGATTTAGATGATTTCAGACTTGTTTCCAGCTAATTTGATTATTCAGGATGCAATGGTATGGTCTGATCATTGAGATTAAGACTAAAAATAGCGATGGTGAATTATTGAAAGAGATTGCCTGATTAGGAGGCATCTAATGGTCATTATGGTGGTCAATGGAGATGAAGAAGAAGAAATCACACATGTTTTCTCAATTACATGTGTTGACCTATTATGTGGGAATTTTAATTGCCTTGAGGGAAGGCAAAATTGGGACACTCTGAACACCAGATCATGTGGACAATTTGAGATGGAGAGTGAAAATTACTGAAGACCAATCTTGACGAATCTATGCAATGGTAGTCTCGCCAGTTGTTGAGAAATCAAGTATAAAACCAGGATACCCCAGATCACTTGTAAAGGAAAGCCGCAACAAAGCTAGCAAATGGTTGTATATACGGAAAGACAATACAATGGATAGTATGGCCTAAGAAATTCTATCTAGGATATTGGATTTTAAGCGGGATCGTTGTGACCCCTCCAATCTTTCCTGGGAACTTGCTTAGTGGAAGGATTATCCAGACGGTACTATTTTTGTATATATAGGAGTTTGTAATAAAACGGTTGCAGACTAGCAATATGATGGCATAAGGGAATAATTAGGTTCTGTATGATCAAGGATCTGATAGAGTGGTGATTTCTCCAAAGAAGTTAGATTCTGTGACTGTGATTTCTCAAGGAGAGAATTGATGAAGACCCTGATAATAGAAGAGAAATACAGCAAGGAGATGAAGATTGGCATCCTATTTTGACTTGGACAAGTGTTGTGACAGGATGAGCTGCTGTAAAAAATAAGCAAGGAATAGGGAGAAATTTGGAGAATTGAAATTGCACAAGAGCACACAGAAATTATGCAGAAGTACCCGGAGGATCCAATGAGGTATTGTAATGAGACAACAAGTGCATGGAGAAGAAGAGTTCTTAGATGAAGCTAAAAGCAGAGACTGTGTGAAGGTTGTACAATAGGAAGTCTCTTGTGCTCTTAATGAAGACAACAAGCGAAGACCTTTCCAATGCATACAAGGATGGAAAGATGAGCTATTGTGGATGCACCTAATTGAGGGGGTGCAAACGCCTGTGATAAAAGGAAATTGCCTATGATGAAAGGTGAAGACACCAAAGAGAGTTGGTGTAGGTGGAGCTGTCAAGTGCGATGATGAAAGACGCAGAAGCTCCAAACATAGAAATCGAGGTGGAGAATTGCGATGAGTATACCGTAATTTTCTCTTTTTATGTAATCAGTGGCAGTGATATCCTACAGTGCACATGGTGATAGAGAATTTTTGGAGCCACTATGAAGCATCCCAGCTGAAGGAGGATGTGACCGCCTATGAAAGGCGAAGACACCTTAAATAGAAGGTGTAAGGGCCATGATAGATGCCCCGGATTAAACCGTCGCATGACGATGAGCGGAAACACCTTAGGAGAAGGTGTGAGGGCCATGATAAAAGCGCCAATTTCAAAATGCCTAAGAGCCAATGTGATGGCTGGATATAAGTGGACAAGTGTATAGCAAATGAAGTGGCTATAATGAGGATGGAGATAAATGTCGAATTAACTTTCATGGATATTGCCCCCATGCTAAAGATTAATGAGCTAGAAGATATGTGCCTTGGATAATAAATGGATGAATTGTGAAGCATTATGACATGGCTGCTATGAAGGGGGCGGGGGCACTCGCAGGTTCCCGGACACGTTGACTCTTGTCAAAGTGGTGAGCTCGGTAATGGCATTGTAATACTCAGAGTATGAAGACAGATATGGATCAACCTTTTATGGGCTGCCCCAATGGTTAAAGGTGAAGAGCTACCTAGACTCTTAAGACTAAGAGCGAGAGACTTATGGAGAAGTAAGGCGTGGTTCCTAGGGTGGAACAGACGGTAGGTGCAACTCCTGGATGAGTAGACTCTTGGAAGAGTGGTGAGCTTGTGATCATATTGAGATACTCAGATAATGACTGTCGCACTTGAAATATCCGTTTGAGGGGGTGTTGTAAGCCTTGATGTGAGGCTTGAGGAATCATTCCGGACTGAGCGTGGTTGATACGCTCGAAGGGGAATGTAGTTCCAGAGACAAGCGTTAACACTATTCAGATGTGATGTGGCAGACCATCTGGTTATAGTGATCCTTTTGTGTGAGAAAAGGTGTGCTTTAGTTACTTTAAGGATTGGAAGGTTTGGCGAGTACCTGTAAACTTGGTCAAACATGCTCTTAGAATGGTCAGGTTAGAAGAGCTGCAAGATGCAAACATGTGCTAAAGAAGCAAGTGGACAGTTGTCTCATATGAATGGCAAAGGGGGTGATTGTTAGGTTGGTTGCCATTAATATGCAACAACCATTTGCTATTGCACCAACCATGTGCACTCATCCAAGATGTCAAAGGTTGGCAGCCACCATTGTTGAAGAAGAGTTGGAGTTGGCAGCCACCTTTGTTGAAGAAAAGCCTCCATGAATGCCTATAAATAGAAGCATGTGTTAGAGAGCAAAATGAGAGTGAAGAGAATTATGAAAATGTGAAGAGAGAAGAGAGGAAGAGAGAGCTGCAATGGCAGCAGCAGCTGCAAGTGCTGCAAAGAGAGTTGTGAGGTGAGTTAGAGA